ATAGTGACCCTATGTACAACAGAAAGAAACACTGCTCCGTCCTGTGCCGTCCTCACAATCATTGCTCTGTTTGAGCCCATTGTTGCCTTACCAAGCATGATGTCCTTCAGGGAGTGTTCCCTCCTGACAACATGTCCAAAGTATATGAGATGGAGTCTTGCCATTCTCACTTCCAAGGAGCACTCCGGCTGTTCTTCCAAGACAGACTTGTTCATTCTTCTGGCAGTCCATGGTATATTCAATATTCTTCACCAACACCATAATTCAAAGGCATCGATTCTTCAGTCTTCCTTATTTATTGTCCAGCTTTTGCATGAATATGAGGTGATTGCAAATATCATGGCTTGGGTCAGGTGCACCTTAGTCCTCAAAGTGACATCTTTGCCTTTATCACTTTAAAGACGTCTTTTGCAGCAGACTTGCCCAATGCAATGCATCATTTGATTTCTTGACTGCTGGGTGTTGATTGTGGATCCCAGTCAAATGAAATCCTTGACAACTTCAATCTTTTCTCCTTGATCATGTTGTTGCTTATTGATCCAGTTATGAGGATTCATGAAGTTAGGGGTCTGGTATTGATTATAGTTCTCTTACAGCACTTACATTGCAGGGCACAGGGGTGGGTGCAGAGCAGATATTCAAAAACTGCTTCAAGGACTTACTCTTTTTAAGTAGGAGGGAACTTTAAGGGTAGTTGGCCCAATTTCTCACCTGGTAAGAAATAACTATTTAGCTAACAATTCTTGAGCACCTACTATGTGCTCCCTTTAAGCCTCACAACTACCTTATTTTCCAGATGTGGAAACTGAGGTTGAGAGAATAAGTAACTTGCTCAAGATCACACAGTCAACACCTAGCAGGACTTGAACTCTGACCTGCCTGCGGCCGTAGACTGTACTCTTACTCCCTACACCATTGCCTCCTAGGAGCTTCTGCCATTTGTGGGTTGGTTAGAGAACAGAGGGACCCATATAGATGTCACTCTGGTGCCCTGAATTGCTGCTATTACTGCAAAGCCCCATGTCACTGGTTCTCAAGTGAGCTGCCCACCTGAGCATAGAGACTGTCTTAGCTGATCTGGGAGTGGGGGTAGGGCTGGGGAACCCATGAGGCTAGTCCTTTTTTCAGGGGAGCCCAGAAGACCTATATCCCAGGGGCAGCTCAGAACCAGCCAGGCCTCCACAGCCCCTAGATGCCCACTGTCAGCTCTCCAGGGGAGCTGCTCTGAGTTGGAGAAAGAAGTCCCTAGAGACCCTTAACTAACCACAGGCTTGTCACTGCAGCTTCAGCCAACTTAGCCATTTCTAGTCTCCCATTTGCCAGGAGGGACCAGTCCCTGGAGAAGGACATCATGCTTGGTAGAGGGCCAGCAAAAAAGAGGAAGACTCATTGAGATGGACTGACACAGTGGCTCCAACAGTGGGCTCAAACATAACAATTGCGAGGATGGTGCAGGACTGGGCAGTGTTACCTTCTGTTGTACATACGGTCACTATGAGTCAGAACTGACTCAACAGCACTTACCACCACCACCACCAGCATAATCATTAAGGATGCAAGCCACCCCCTAGAAATAATATATCATAGATGCTAATGTTGTTAGGTGCTGTCGAGTCAGTTCCTACTTACAGTGACCCTATGTATAACCAAATGTTGCCAAGTCCGATGCCATCCTCACAATCATTGCTACGTTTGAGCCCACTGTTTCATTCAAGAGTATAGTGTTTATCATTTTATCAGCTAAAGAAAAAAATCTCAAGTCACTAATCATTTTTATCTATTTGTTTGGAACAAGTAGGGAGTTTTTAAATGAGTAAAAAGTTCTTCTGGTCCCAAAGCAGTGGGTCGGCTTCACAGTATATACCATAAAAGGTGTATCCAATCTGTGACAACGAGTGCAGGTTGGGTACACCATTTACTCCGCTCTCCTGTAAACGAGGAGTAACTATAGCAACTCCCACACCCGGGACTTCGGACTTCGGGTGGTGCCGACAGACTCTCCCATTACTGAAGCACGCAGCTGTACGTCACAGCACTTGTGTTTGTTATCTTGTTTGCAGGGCTAAAGTGATGCTGCTGCAGATATTTGTTTTCCACAATTGTTATTCTTCCTGCTTAGCTCGGTTCCTCTTCTCCGCTGAGCACAACAGAAATAGCAGGTGGTACTGCTAGTTACCAGCCGCTGATCCTGGGACATCGCCTCTCTGAGCCTTAGGACCTAAATCTGAAAAGGGGATGCCGAGTTCTCTGACGGAATGGCTGTTACAATCCTGGGGGTGGGGGGTGGGGGTGGTAAATGACGGTCATCTTAAGACACATTTGTGCACACTGGGATTTGAGAAGCACGCTGGTGCTGTAAACCATCTGGGACCTGTTAAATGAAGATTCGGATTCAGCAGGTCTGGCGGTGCGATTCTGAATTTCAAGGATGCTCCCAGATGCTGCTGGCTCTGCTGATGAGGTGTCCATACTTTGAGTAGCTGGGAGGTTGGCCTTGGCACCAATACTTAAGGACATTCTGAAGACCTTGTTTTAATAATTATCTGCTACTAAGAATATAAGGAACCCTGGTGGCACAGTGGTTAAAGAGCTTGGCTGCTAACCAAAAGTTAAGTGGTTCAAACCCACCGGCTGCTACTCAAGAAAAAGATGTGGCAGTCTGCTTCCATAAAGATTTCAGCCTTGGAAAACCTATGGTGCAGTTGTACTCTGTGCTATAGGGTTGCTGTGAGTTGAAATCAACCTGACAGCAATGGGTTTGGTTTGTTTTACTAAGAATATAAGGAGCCCTGGTGGCGTTACAGTTCAGTGTTCGGTTGCTAACCAACAGGTCAGCAGTTCAAATCACCCAGTGGCTCTGTGGAAAAAAGACCTGGAGATCTGCCTCCATAAAGATTAACCAATGTCACAAAACAATAGGTGCATACATTTTTGAATGAGAAATTAACTTGAGCTGTAAACTTTCACCTAATGCACAATAAAATTAAAAAATTTTTTGACAATTAAAAAAAAGACTATAGCCTAGAAAACACTATGTGGGGCAGTTCTACTCTGTCCTATAGGGTCGTTATGAGTGGGAATTGACTCACCGGCACCCAACAAGACTAAGAATATGTAAGACAGGCTGAAATAATTTGTTGAGGATCCTATACAGATAGCATCTCAAGTCAAAGTGAGATAATAACTTTAAAGGATCTCAAGTAAATAGCAAGAATCCATAAAGTCACTTTTTTTTTGGTTTGATTTTTTGCTTTAAGTACTTCCCTCCAGGCACTACACAGGTTAAAGGGGGGAAATAAAGCAAAGGAAACAACTTCCCAGCAGAAACCCTGGCCAGTGGGTGAGCAGCACTTTCTAGTACTTAGAGAAGGGATCTGTGTCTTGCTTTTGTGGCTGAAGTGTTGTTTCCCAGGTTTTGCTTGTGCGTGCCTCAGATTCCCAGAACCTCTTTAAACCTCAAGATACTACTGATTTTATTACACTATTGTGTTTCCAAGTTGCTGCTGCTGTTGTGTGCCGTCGAGTCGATTCCGACTCATAGGGACCCTATAGGGCGGAGTGAAACTGCCCATAGGGTTTCCAAGGCTGTAATCTTCACAGAAGCAGACTGCCACATCTTTCTTCCACAGAGTGACTGGTGGCTTTGAACCACTGACCTTTCAGTTAGTAGCCAAGCACTTCAACCACTGCGCCACCAGGGCTCCTTGTTAGCAATATGGATAACCGCCAAGTTTAATTACTTCTATTAGCAATGTTTCAGTTTTCCTTGATAAAGGATAAATCATGTCCACATCTGCCAGTTCACTTCTGCCATCTGACTAACATGTCACTCTCCCTGTCCCTAAAGACTACAGAAGAAAAGCATTAGCACCGACACATCAAACACATACCTGTGAAAAGTACGATGACCAGACTAGGCGCCGCTCCCAGTGAGTCCTCGGTGATGCTTCTCCAACGTGCTGGAGTCTTGTGTTTTGTGTAGGAACAGGTCACGGGACGCGATGAAGCTGAACGAGCCTTCAGACTTGACACACTAGGTTGGTGATATCTCCCTACCATCTGATCACTAAGCATGGTATCTTATGAAGATTTCAGAAAGGACAAAATTCTATTTCTATGGGCAAATGCTTTCCTTCAAATTATTCTTCCCTTCCTGTGAATCAAGTAAAAACAACAACAAAACTCACAATAATATCAATAAGAGGTGCATCTTTTTATGTGTGCCACTGAGTTCAGTATAAACGAGCTTAGCTTTCTTTCAATCCAGAGTGTTTATTATTGGTTTACACTCCAGACAAAGTATTGTTCAAGGCACTGTGAGGAGATACATAGAAATCATGATACATACACAATCACGGCCCTGCCTCACGAAGCTTACATTCTAAAGGAGAAAGACATTCTCTCACTGGAGGAAAACCAGCAAATCCAAGCCAGGCATGGAAACTGTGTGATACAGATCAACAAGAGCAGTAGGTCTGATGGGGCGAGATCATTCTGGGCTGTGGTGTCTGGAAAAGGTCTCGTCCAGGAGGCAGGTCAGGGAGGGTGTGGACGGGCAGAGAGTGAGGAGCAGCCTATTCCATGTGAAAGCACAGCAAAAGTTAGGTTGCGGGTTCACGGGCTGCATGGTGAGATGTTAGCAGAACAGAGACTCTGCTGAGGAGAAGTGGTGGCAAGGTCCATAGCCTGGTTAGAGGTGCACTGCAGAGACTTATCGAGTGTGAACTTTATCCCTTGGCAACAGAAAGCACATAAAAGGTATTTGAGATAAGTGGCATCACAAAAGTGGATTTTTAAGATTAACTGAGAGATGTAGAAATGAGTGAAGAGGTATTTTAAGTACCGAGCAGGGCAATGAACTGAGCAATTTTAAGACCCTTTGAAGTTGAGTCTAAGGCGCCCTGGTGGTGCAAGCGTTAAGCACTCTGCTGTTAACCGGATGGTTGGCGGCTGGAACCCACTCAGAGGCTCCGAGGGAGAAGACCTGGTGATCTGCTCCATAAAAATTATAGCCTAGAAAACCCTCTGGGGCAGTTCTACTGTCACATGTCGTCGCTATGAGTCAAAATCGACTCAACGGCACCTAACGACAGCAAGCTGAGTCTGTGATTCTAAAATCACAGACTAAGGGGGGAAAATGCCTACAGTTACCTATGGAAAAGCAAAGGAAGAAACGACAGGTTTTTTAATAACTGAATACAATTCCTCATTGAATACTGAATCTCTCAAGAGAAACCAAGACTGGGAACAAGGCAGCCAGGTCAGCTACAACCCCTGTGTCCATCGGATGGGGAGGGGGGCTCATCCCTTTAGCCTACTCAGCCCCCAGGCAGAACACATGCCAAATATGTGGACTGGCCCCAGATCAACTAAAACCAGTTATTTACTGTTTACTTTGAGCTTCGCTAACAGCAATTTAAAAGGACAGAGGAGATCTGGAAAATTACATACAACTTTGGAATCACATGCCATGCATTCAAAGTCTTAAGATGAAGTAATTTTAACTGTCTTACCCTAAGAATCAAAAAAAGATCCTCTATTAAGAGCCCTCGTGAGTTGACTGACCACAACCTGACTCTGGGAGCTGGATGCCAAACAATCTGGAAAATTACTGTCAAACCAAGAGACTAAACCAAAAAACTAGCTCTAAGTGCTTATTCCCTGTTAGAGATCATCAGTCTGATACACTTGCTTTTGGTTGGTTCTCTCAACCCTCTCCCAATTTGCTGGCGTAACTTTGGGGATTCCTATTACAGAGAAGAGTAAAGTGGACACTGAAAATTAAAAGCACTGGTTACAGGCAAGCCTACTAACTGAACTAATTATAATTTCCACAACATTTTTACTGTTGTGCTAAAATAATTGGTCTATAACTAATGACCTTTCCCACATCTCAAAGTTCACTGATGCTCCACTCAATGAATAAAGGCACGTGTATTATAGTAATACAGCATCCAATATTCAATTCCTGTGTCTGCACATCTGACTAGTCAAACAGAACAAGAAGGTACTATTATTGACCTCTGTATAGCTATATCAACAGCTATATTTAAAAAAATCCATATACAGTGATTGGGCTTTAAATGCAACTCAAAAAAACACTTTGGTGGGAAACATTTAATGAGGCCCCACCATGAGCCACCTCTGGGTGGGGTGGGGGTAGAAAGAAACAACATGGCCTCATCCCAGAGCCATTCTCCGTCTCTCCTTCCAGGGCAGAAGGCACGTCTTCGTGGTGGCGTTACTGCCGTCGAGTCTCCCTGACTCATGGCAACCCCATGTGTGGTTGTACACAAATAATACAGGCAGGGTATTAAGTGTTACAATAGAATGACCATGTGCTGTGAAAAGATGGCATGTCAGCAGTTCTTCTAACTGGATAATGGGAGTCCAATTCATAGAGTTTGGGCAGGAGGAATGACATTTAGCTTGAACATTTTAATTTGAACACATTTAAAACCACCAAACTCAAAGGTACAATCATGTGATAAGCAGCCTGTGGTTTCACATCAATTATAAGTTAATCCAAGGGGCTCAGGTATCACACAGTCGTGCCGGCTGGCCAGGTCAAGGGGCTCCCAAGACTCCAGGGGTTAGCTCACTTACATGCACATGTCAAAGCCTTCAGATCAGGATTCAGATTAGGAAATCGATACAAAACTGCAGAGTCAGTATGCTCCAAATTTGTCAGCTGTGTACAAAGAAAAACCCAGACAGCAATCCACCCAAAATGTTAACCCTGGGTACCTCTTAGGTGGTGGGAATGCAGGTGATTTCAAATGATGTATGTATTTGTATTTGTTTATATTGTGAATTTTCTCAAGGACACGCATACTTATTATTAAATCAGTTTTCCTGATCATGTATTTCTTATTATATAAACCAGTTTTCCTGACTGCAAAAGTAATAAACATACACACATTTTAAAAATACAGCATGACGGAACTATAAAAACAAAGCAAAAATCCCATGTACCCCACCTCCAGAGACAACCTCTGTTAACATCTGGATATATTTCCTTCTAGATGTTTGCTTTCTGCACATATAAGGTATATATATTACTTTCATCATCAAAAAACTATATATAAAATCAGAATAGGAAGATCCTTTTCTGCTTCCAATTCTCTTTAAAAAATACGTGTCTCAGTGACACTGAGACATCAGTGACGTTTGACTTTGTCCCTGTATTCATGAAACACAAGCACCAGGAATACCTGACTCTGACAGACACCTGTGGAGTAAGACATGGCAGGAGCCAGGAGTGCATTTGGACGCTTGGGCTGGACGGGTGAGCTGTTAAAGTGGCCCAATAAAAGGCACTTTTATGAGAGGAAAAAAAAATGCTTCCAGCAAGAAGGATTTCTCAGTGACCAACCCAAGGACTGAGAAGGACTGAGTGACCAACTCAATGACAGTTTGTGGTACCTGTTGTTGCCTTACTGACTAGTTAACAAGTCACGTCCCCCAGGTACACACACTGCCTCTAAGAGGCGCAGTGAGCCCACTCCGTGGTGCTGCCTGATGTGGAGTGGACTGGTGGAGGTTCGTCCTCATCTTAGGCCTTCAGCGTTTTTAATAAGACATTCTATAATGGCAGAGAAATATAAAAGCAAAGCAAGTATACTGTAAACATCACCCAGACATCGGGGCCTGATGAGCCAAGGCATCTGGGCAAGACAGAAGGGAACATACTGCTAAGGTAGCCACGTCCTGTTCTTAGAAGGTCACCGTGGCAACATGCCAGGAGGCCCAGGGGAGGACGCCTCACCTCCTGCCAAGCCAAACATGGGCCACACCAGGCTGACTGAGGACAGGTCGCCCTGATGGGTGAACACACCACCTCCTGGTCAAGGTCGCAGGAGAGTCACAAGGAGAGAGGAGTGTGGAAACTGGTCCCTGCTTTGAAGGGCAGACATTCTGTCTGTGAGAGAGAACCCAGCCAGGGGAAGGGCCCCACCCAGAAAGTTGGGAGATGGATTTGACAACTCTGGTTTCAAGACAAGTCACTCTGGCTTTCATATTTTGACACATGGGCCACGTGACCATGGTTCAAGGCAGATGTCAGCCATCTGGGAATTAACGGTGTACTCTGCTTTTGCTTAAAACTAATAAGGAGTCTGGGGGAATGAACAGAATGGGTAATCACTGCACAACTGGACCATGTTTTCTCAAAGTTGTTGGGCCACTTCACTGGCCGTCAAATCTGCGAAGCCGGCATCTCCTCATTTCTTCTTCTGGTGAGAGGCCAAACTCACAGAGTGGTGGGTTATTGCTGGTATTTCCTGTGGAGAAAAAACAAAAGGGAAAATCAAATAGTGCCTATGCATCATTCTGACATTTACAGGGCACTGGGACCCTAGGATCCCAGGGGGAAAAAACAATAGCTTTGGTGTCATCTTTAATTTAACACGAAACAGAAACATAACAAATATATTTCAGCTTCAGCTGTCAATACTAAACTTCAAGCAAATACTTTTAGTGTGGTGCAGCCCACAATCCTAATTTAACTCATTCTGAGACTTCCTGACAATCCTCCTCCTCTTATTTCTCCTTCAACCATGTTCCTTAACTTTCACCATTTAACTTCCGTAAGGTCTCAAGGGCTTGGGTTTTGTTTTGTTTTTTAGGCCCAGAAATAACTTGTCACCCAACTCTACTTATTTCTCCACCAAGTATCCTGGTTTGTTGCTCTTGATCAGCCTCTGGCTCCTCCCTCTCCCTCCCTGTAAAACAGGAAACACACCGGCTTGAGGCACACACGCCGCAGGGATCATGGGCCCTGAGCAGCGGCAGTTACCATGCTGATCAATATCCGAGTAGGCAGACAAAAATGCAGATGTGATATTTAAAGATCATATGAGCAACCATGGAAATAATCACTAAGAACAGTTTCTTGGGGCTGCAAATGTACCAAAAATTTAGTTCGTAATCATATAAGCGTTTTAATCGCTACATAAAAAACACTCTGTCGGGTGTTGTGGTGAATAAAGAAATAAAGCAAGGGTGAAATAAGGAAGAAAAACAGACAGTCTATGGCCTCATGAAACCAGCAACCTCAATCCAATGAAGTGGCTTCAATCTCCTCCGTGAGGCAGCCGGGCAGGGTCATCCCTGATGGAAACTGATAAGCGCCAGATGCACTTTCAAGCAGATGGACAGAAAGGCTGTAACTTTTCACTTTTGTGCCTCTTCTAACGCTGATAATTCTCCCCAAATGGCTTCTCCCATCACTATGGCAACCAAACATCTACTCTTTCTTCCAATGCCCCGTCGGAATCACACTGTCTTTTGGCCATCCCAGTTGGAAGAACTTCCTCCCGGTTTAAGCTCTTCAGCTGTCAGCACCCTCCTGTTGGTAGAACAACAGTCCCCCCACCTGCCAGGTAGGGTGGCCATGTGTGCACACCTCTGACCTTTCCCTGTGCTCCCTGGGGCCTGGTACAGTCCTGGGCACACAGTCAGCATTCTATAAATTTGACTCAACAGCATCTGCCTGCGACTTCCTAAGTACACGTTACAGCCAGACAACCACATTCAACACTGTCCATGGTGGTTTCAGACATGACTGACTTGAGGGGGTCAAATACTCTAGAATCACGGGCCTAGCTGGGAAGGGTGGGTGGATAAGGGGACTAGAGCCAAGAAGAAAAGAACCTACTCATCTGCCATGAGCAGCACCTCTTCAAAGACGTTTAAAGGTAATATATTGATATGAAAATTGTTACAACTATGATGAAAAGATGTTAGAGAAGGCAGTCTGTTCAATACACAACTGGAATTTCAGTTGTCAGACGAGAAATTAAGAAGAAGACAGCCAAAGGGTAGCACTCTGTGTTTGTGCCTCCCCACTGTGGAGGAGACCCCATGCTTATACATATCTGGTTCTCCTTTCCTTTTGGCACTATGGGAGAATTATACCTTCTGAAGCTCTTGCAGCCCGTTCCGAACAGTAACCCAAAAGTGAACAGTGCAGATCTAGCCCCATGCTCACTCCTGCTGGCTAAACTTCTACCTGAAGGTGACTGGAAGAGTGAAATATATGTCAATTTGTCAACTTTCATTAAACATATTATAGGCTTATAAAAGACTGTCACCATAAAGATTTTAGGAACGCTATAAAATTAAAAGTTTCACTGGATGCAGTTTTCACCATGTATTTGTAAAGGCATTTCTCTCTGTTCGAAATGATAAAAGCTTTGCAATTACAAACTCATAAATCAGATCACTATTAGGTTATTGCTTAAAACTGTTTCATACATTGGTATCCAAATCCTAGTTTTAACAGTGTCTTTTAACAACAAGACTCTTCTTAATTGCACTTTTGAGCACTAGCCAGTATTTGACACCCACTCCAGATGGTCAGGGAGCTATCAGAACTGGCCACAGGCAGAGTCAGAAGCAAGCTCCACGTGGCATGCTGTCTATGGGCCATGGCACAAGTCCGTGGAAGCTCAAAGAGTGCTCAGACTCCCAAAGGGAATCCCGGTGTCCTCTGGGGTTTTCATTAAGCTCTTCCTTAAAAGAAAAAGCCTGAGAATTAACATTTCTGTGAAGGTGAGTGCAGGAAGAGTCAGAAGAGGCAGCTGGTGAAGGTTCCTGAGGTCCAGCTCTTGAAATGAGCAGCCAGCAGAGATGTTCTTTGGACTCATTCAAGGGCATCTGAGGAGAACCAGGGCTGAGCTGACAGAAGAAATGCCACATGTTGAAGGAGAAAAATCATGTCAAGTGAAGAACAAAAATTACTCTATCGTGACAGAGCCCTCTCAAGGTGCCTTATTTCACTTAGCTTTTGGCCTAATTTTATCACCCCAATTTTATAGATGAGGAAACAGGCTCAGAGAGTGTCAGGGACACCATCTAAGGTCACAAATGTAGCCATGAGGGGAAGCAAACTTGACCTGGGTCTTCTCACTGCAATGCTGGCTCTCCTCCCACTTTTTGCTCAAGCCCACACTGCCATCACCTCTAACACACTGAATATATTAAACATAGCACCCTGTCACAATCCTCCCACCCTCTTGCAAAACCCAGAGTGTCCTTTTTCTTCATGGATAAGTGGAGAACTCCTCTATTTGAAAAGAGAAAAATAAGAAGGTCCAAACCAGGCCCTCAACACTACAGAACTGCTATTGCCAAAGACAGGACTATGAAGTTCCAATGTGGATTTAATTTCTACCTGCTACCAGAGTGGTACAGCCTTCTACGACCACCAGAAGGGCCTTGGGTATGACGGGGACAACAACAACCAGAAGCCTTATGTCTAACCAGGCCTGATTCTATGGGCATCTTAAATCCAATAGTATCGATGCACCATGCTGACTGAAGAATGACTTAATTGCTTCATTTCAGGTACTGAACACTGTTCTTAATACCGGTAGTTAACCCCAGTAGTTACATTATTTTTTTTTTTAAAAGTTTTCAACAGTAAATTTACTTTTGACATTTCAAAAAGAGTTACCAAGTTGGCTGTCAGTTCCTGCTCCAGTAACACCCAGTGCCAGCCGGAAGCAGGGCTTCTGCCAATCCACTCACTCACAGGCAGTCTGTCTTCCAATCCTCCACCCCTCAACTCATTCTTAAAACCATGTCTGTATTTCCCACTTGTGTGAAATATGATCTGTCACTTCTCTCCATGATCTCCAGGCTCCTCTGTAGGCACTTCTCAAGGGAGCTTAGCCTCTGAGACATGTATTTTCAGTATGTATTCACACTTGCTAAGCAGGTGAAGAAGGACCCACAGAGTCATCAGCTGGGTCCAGGAGGAGAAGAGGTGTCCAGCAGTGTCACAACACCGTGATGTTAGGGGAATTGGGAGCTGAAGTCCCAGCTGTCCGAAACTAGTGGGGACACCCTAGACCTGTCTCTTTCTGAAGCTCTTGTAGATTCACTTTGAGAGGAGGCTGATGAACAAGGGGGATCACGTGGGCCCCTTCCAGAATCTGGAGCCTGACGACCTAGGGATTTCAGAGGAGATGATGCATCTCAAGTGCTCAGTTGAGTGCCAGGCCTGCGGTAAACACATGACAAGCACTACTGCTGTGATTTTGTCTGTAGCATCGACAGCATGTGTTAAGTGTCTACTTGTTAGTATCATTGTTATTACCGTGTCCCCAAAGATATGTGTTGGAGTCCTGACCCCGATTTCTGTGGATGTGATCCCATTTGGAAATAGGGTTTTCTGTGTTACGTCAATGAGGCCGTATCAGTGCAGGTAGGGTGTCCCCTAAACGTAATCACTCCTGAGTGATACAAAGAGCAGCACAGAGACAGGCTAGCACAAATGAGGACGACGACGCTCTCTGAGGACCAGGGAGGCAGATGAATCTACAAGCCGAGGAACTCCAAGGATTCAAGGCTACTAGAAGTTGAAAAGGAGCCCTGGAGGCACAGTGGTTAAGTGCTTGGCTGCTGACCGAGAGGTCCGTGGTTCAAACCCATTAGCTGTTCCACAGGACAAAGATATGGTAGTCTGTTTCTAAAAAGATTTACAACCTTGGAAACTCTATGGGGCAATCCTACTCTGCCCTATAGCGTGGCTATGAGTCAGAATTGACTTGGTGGTAGTGGGTGGGTGGGTAGAACTGGAAATGGACAAGGATTTCCCCCTAGAGCCACACCTTGGACTTGGACTTCTAGACTTCAAAAGAGTCACTCTTTAAAGTCATCCACGTGTGGTATTTCTGTTAGAACAGCACTAGGGAACTAAGACGACTGTTAACCAACATTGGTTAGTTAACGTTAACATATATACTGATATGAGATATATAAAATAAAATGACAAAAAGTTACTTCTGAAAGGACAGAACCCAATTCTGTTTGAAGACCATTGAGCACTGTTCTGTACCAGGTGTGGAGTTGCTCCTTAACTAAATATCTGCCTTCTAAGAAATAGACAGAATAAAGGTAATTAACCTTCATTTAGCAGCACACTTTTACAACACACAGGGGTCTTTCAGTCGCTGGGAAAGCTGGCGTGCTCGGCCAAGACCTTCTTTTTTCCGCTTAGTTAAATCGGGTATTGAACGTGTGCATGCCTGGGTGAGACGACCACGTTTGATGAACTTGGTACAGAATATGAGTATTTATAAGCCTCGTCTCTGTATTCCTGTAATGGAGGTCAGCCCTCAATTTCACTCAAAGAAAACAGTGAGCATGCTTCAAAGAATCTCAGCCTAAGCCGATTTAGTTCAATTATAGCACCAGTAGTGAAATCAGAAGATTTATTGATTTGTGGTTCTCGATGGAAAAATTTTCAGTTCTTTACCCTTATGTATAATGCAGT